GCTACGCCTGCTAGCCAGCTGACCTCCAGGATCCCCTGTATCTGCCTCCCAAGTTCTGGGAGCACAGATAAGCAATACCTGCCTAGCTTTTGTGTGGTTTCTGAGAATCCTAATCTAGTCCTCATGCTGGCAGGGAAAATATTTATTCACTACACCATCATCCTTGCTACCAACATTTTTAAAATGTAACATTCTGGTCTTGTAAGGTTTGCAAAATAGTTTTACCATACATTTTCAATTATTAAAAACAACACACTTTTCAATCCTTAAATGGTCTGTAGCATCACTCAAGGGTGTGACGTGTCATCTGGGGACCACTGTCACCTCTGTATAGAGCACGGAAGTGTCCATAAGATGTTTCAGATTAAACACATCAATTTGAACTTTGTTTTTCAGCACTTACTCTTTCTCTCTTTTAAAATTAGGGTGTATTAAATGAACAAAATAATGGATTTAAGCAAGTGAACTTCAGAGTTTAATTGAATCATAGATCAAATGGAATTGATAGACATCTACAGACTATTCTAACACCTATGGAATGCATAGTTTTCTCTGCAGCCCATAAAATGTTCTCTAAAATAATCCTATCTTAGGATATGAAATAACACTTTCTTTAATAAAACCAAAGGAAGAAAGTGTCTATCAGTGAAGAAGAAACAAAAAGGTCATTCTGGTCATATAATAGATGGGCAGGCTCAGGAGAGAATATTCCCTAACGTAGCACTTGACATTAACATTAAATAAAAAACTAAAGACACTGAAAACTCTGAAAATTACCTATTATGTCTCTAAGCTGTAACTTTAATTGTAAAAAAAACCACTAAAAGTGTAAGTACACACAGATAGTTGACGTTAGACTGTAGTTTCTTTCATACTTGTATGGTTTTTGCATTATCATCATCTATTTCAGGTAAAAGTGGGTGCTCTGGGGGCCACAGGAGCATAGGAGGTCACTGCCTCTTGCTCATAAATTCATCCCTGTGCATTTGGGAATGGTTTGGAGACCCTTTTTCAGTATGGGTTCGGATAGCATATTAATCATCTTCTGAAATATTAACCGACAAGCAAGCATATTGCCAGCTGCTGAAAAATGGCAGTTGCAGCAGAAAGAGAAGCACCTTTGGCATGATTCTGGAGCACAGCCAGGGCTGAAGCCACACAACAAAGAATGTGTCTCGGTGACTTTGTCAATCAGCAGAGTTAAAAGGTCAATGTGCATCAATAAAAAGAAATCTAAAACTCATTTTTCTTTGCTCTAATGACAACCTTAGGCTGCTTGATTAAGAATCTAAGTAACAACACAGGGAACTTTTGCCCTGTGTGATCTCAGTGGATTAAGGGCATAAATACTCAAAATCAATGACTACTTGCAAATTTTTTCAGAATGTGTCTCAAAAATTGGTAACCACCAAATCTCACTTTTGCACAAAAGTTACCAAAGGATCCTGAAAACATGGGACCAAAATTGCCTGTGCACTTCATACAAGAAATTCCAGCAGGCTTTAGTAGAAGGAGCCACAGCTTGAAATGGAGAGCTCCGACACTTAGTCTTTAGGCTAAGAATAGCAAGGTGAATCACTTTCATCAGTCCAACCTCTCTAATTTCACATGTCAATTGGGTGATATACATTTAAGGCCATTTCCAACTCTAACATACTGCATTTAGAATTTACTCTTTCATTTAAACTTTAACAATGTGAAGAGTTTTTATTTATTGGCTGTAAAATGTTTTAGCTCTCAAAAATGCAAACGCAAAAGCTTCAGGAGTAAGAACCATATTTAGATCATTGTTAGACCAACAAAAACCTTGATCCCTCTCCACCTACAAACATTCTCTTCCTTCCTTGCCTCTCCAATCAGAACGTTCTCTTACCTCTACTTGATTCTGGATTTGCTCACTTTGAAAGCCCAAACAAATTATAGTTTACAAGAAGCTGCCTCCTTCCAATCACACTAAGTACTTCTTCTCCTAAAGTCTTCTGCTCTCCTAATGAGTACCACAATTTAATTTAACTTTGAATTATTTAATGTGTGTTGTAGGAAGAGATTGAAATCTCTTCCTACAACAGTATTACCTACAATTTTCTGGATCCTACACAATGTATGGCAAAGTGCCAATGTGTTTGGCTTCTATAAATGCCTATTAACTAATGAGTCCTTCAGTTCATGGATATTAGAAACTATTACCATATACTTTCCACATAAATACTTTACAACACTTACAATTTCAATACGCTCAACCTTATTCCAAACTTAAGTATCTATGAAATTATTTTATAAATTTATCTTCTTCATCTGCATAACTTTAATAGAATAAAAAGGAGATGGAGTAGGATAGTCTAATTTTATGATTTATATGAAAATGTCTTCGTCTGGCCCACCCCATTCACATTTGTTTTTAACAAATCTAGTAATATATTGGTAATATTTTTGTCACAATAATCTATAAGCACAAAGACAAGCCTATTTATTTGACTTAATAATCAAGAAACTCTAAACTCACTTTCTCTCTCTCTCTCTCACTCTGTGTGTTAACCATATACTACATCTATTTATAATTTATTTTTGCTGTCTCTCACTCACTCTGAGTATGTTTGTGTGTATATGTGTGTGTGCACCATATACTACATCTATGTATAATTTATTTTTGCTTAGCTATGGCACCCAATTATTTTTCTGTACTGCTCACCCCTAAAAGGATTTCCTATACTTTAGTTTTACTTTTATTCTTTCTCCTTTCTTTTAAGATTTATTTTACTTTTAATTATGTGTATGTGGGCATCAATGTGGCTGGCTGGTAGCCATGGAATGCCTGCCCTTTTCTGAAGAGAAACAGAGGAAGAGGTGCTGTGGGGTGGTCTGTATGTCAAGTGTGTTGCTGATTGGTCAATAAATAAATCACTGATTGGCCAGTGGCCAGGCAGGAAGTATAGGCAGAACAAGGAGGAGAATAAAGCTGGGAAGTGGAAGGCTGAGTCAGAGATCATGCCAGTCGCCATGATGACAAACAACATGTGAAGATGCCGGTAAGCCACGAGCCACGTGGCAAGGTATAGATTAATAGAAATGGATTAATTTAAGCTGTGAGAACAGTTAGCAAGAAGCCTGCCATGGCCATACAATTTGTAACCAATATAAGTCTCTGTGTTTACTTGGTCGGGTCTGAGCGGCTGTGGGACTGGCGGGTGAGAGAGATTTGTCCTGACTGTGGGCCAGGCAGGAAAACTCTAGCTACAAAGAGGAGTGGATGAGGGAGAGGGGAGTTGAGGGGGAAGGACTGGGAGGAGAAGAGGGAGGGAAAACTTCAGTCAAGATGTAAAAAACAAACAGACAATGAAAAAAGAATCTCATTCTAATGATTTTCTTTTTAACTTTGGAATGCTTTTCTCCAAAAATAGAGACACTGTCTTATATTTGTGATATATCTTCAAAATACAACCAAGTACTTTGCTAAACAACTTTTCTATATTTCCTATTAGAGTAAAATTTATTTCTTATGACATGAAATATCAGCTGTGCATGCTTCATGCATAGCTATGAAGAATGATGCTGGTAGGGTGTATTGTGATTCCACGCTCAGCAGGTAAGGAACTGGAGGGTGGGGTGACTTCACGTAATCCTCTGTGGAAGAGATATGTCTACCCTGACACCACATGGGAGGGCTAGACTTTTCCTCGGAGATACCAAACAAAGATTTGTTAGGGGGGTAGCAGTAGACCAGTGAGAAATTAAAACACTAGTAAGAAAATGCTTATTCCAACCTTCTAATAGTAAACATTTTACTATATTATCAAAATTTTTAAAAAAGAATATGTGATCTCATGGTAAGGTCCCTGATCTATTTGGAGTTGAATTTCATGCAAGGTGAAAAGTATTAATATAGCATTCTTCATTTTTATTCAAGTTGAACTTCATATTTATTAGCACCATTTGTTGAAGATTCTGTTTTTTCTATAGTGAGTGTTTTTTGACATGTTTGTACAAAGCCGGATAGCTGGAGTTGCTTTCTGGCTCCCCTATTGGATTTTATTAATCTATATATCTGTTTTTATACAAGTACCATGCTGTTTTTATTACTGTGGTTCTGAAGTATAACTTGAAATCAGGTGTGGTAACATCTCCTGAAGTATTCTTTTTCTTAAAACTTGGTTTGACTCCACAAGGTTTTGATTTTTTTTTTGCTTCTCTATAAATTTTAAGATTATTTTTCTGTATATATGAGGAATGTCCCTAGAATTCTTATTGGGATTTAGATTGAATCTATAGGCAGCAGCTTTTAGTAAAATGGACATTTTCACAATAGCAGTTTTTCCATTCCATGAACATTGAAGTTCATTCCACCTTTTGGTGTCTTCCTCAGTTTCTTCTTCAGTGCCTTAAAGTTGTTGTTGTAGAGATCTTTCACATCCTTGGGTTTAATCCTAAGTATTTAATTTTTTGTGGCTACTGTGAATGGGATTGTTTCCCTGATTTCTTTTTTCAGTGTGTTTCTCATTGCTATTGGACAGGGATACTGATCTTTGTGGGTAATTTTGTATCCGAAGATTTCACTGAATATATTAGCTCTAAGCAGTTTTTGGTGGCACCCTCAGCATCCCATGTGTAGAGTCATATCAACTGCAGTTAGGGATACTTGGCTTCTTAGCCTTTTATCCCCTTTAGTTCCTTGTCTTATCTTATTGCTCTAGCTGAGACTTCAAACACTGTACTGAACAGGAGAGAAGAGAGCTGAGCAGGACAACCCTGGCTGTAACTTTGGCTTTGGTAAGCTCTCTCTACCCCTAGCTGCTCCATGATTTTGTGTGTTCATCATGATCCAGTTGGCTCTACTCCAGAGCTGTGGAGATGGTTCAACAAATGTTAAACCAGTCCATTCAGTATATCAAACAAAGGGACTAAAAGACAGAAATCACGTGATTATCTCAACAGACTCAGCATTCATTTCTTTTCTATTAGTCATCACACTCCTTTCTAGTAGTTGGAAGTGCTTCAAGCTGCAGTCAAATATAGGCATTTGTGGGCCTCCAGACTCCATGTTCATATCCTTGATGGAACTGTCACACACCATCAACCGTCTCTGCCCAGAAAACTGACACCATCTGCATACAATTGCTCTTCTTCTGGTAGAAGACTTTTTTCACTTAAAGGTAAGCGAGGTTTGCTTTACTTTACTAGCTGAAGGCTATGTCCCCTGTCAATAATAAGTTCGGATACTGGAATAAGGATGGGAAAATAAAAATCATTTGCCAAAAGCTGTTTATGTAATATCAAGCAGATTTTTTTCATTTAGTGGTTGGCCATTTAACAAATGAGCTATGAAATAAAAACAAAGTGCCCAAAGATCCTTGAAAACAGGGATCAAACGGCCTTCAGAAAGTTCTGAAGGATTTAAAGGTGGTGTCTGAAGAGATCTCACTGGCGTTTAGTTACTTTAGTCCACTAACGATGGCCTTCACTGACACTGTTTTCAAAGAGTAGTCATTCAGCATCGAGATACTTGCTCATCTCCAGAAAATCACAATGTAAGTTCAACTGACAGTCTAGCTCAGTTGCTTAATAGCATCATTGTTGCCTTAAGTGTGAACAAAGCTCAGCACTACCCAGAAGAGTGTATTAAAAAAAAAATCTTATTCTTCACATGTTTGAGGGGTTGGCTCAACCTCAGATTGAGCCTGAGACATCTTTCCGGACCCCTTCTATCTAATCCTTTTAAAAAATTATTGCTGGGCGGTGGTGGCGCACGCCTTTAATCCCAGCACTCGGGAGGCAGAGCCAGGCGGATCTCTGTGAGTTCGAGGCCAGCCTGGTCTACAGAGCAAGATCCAGGACAGGCACCAAAACTACACAGAAAAACCCTGTCTTGAAAAACAACAACAACAACAAAAAAAAATTAAAGTTTTCATGTTCTCCCTACATTAAGATTAAAGTAAAAACTTATCAGGCTAAATGTACATAATACACATTTTAAAATGAAATAGATGTACACAATGTAAGAAAAATAAGCAGAAACAAAGTATCTTCCCTTTGTGCCTTTTAAAAAACCTTGAACTAGACCATCTGCGCGTGTTTCACAGCAGCGAGCAGTAGGCAGCGGCGGAGCCTCTTCTCCGTGGGAGTAAAATGAGAAAGGCAGAGAGCTATGAGCGCTGCGTTTTCTCAGTGGAGCAGCACACACTCAGCGCCAGGGCCTCCACTACTGAAGCACTGGGCGAATTCAGAGTTCAGTGGTTCCACTTCCTACCCCACAGTGTGTTCACTGTTGCCCTCGGTTCGGTGTGTTCCATAAAACAAAGGAAAGCAGTTTTAAAATCTAGCAAAGTTGTAATTATTGGAGCTACGTCTCATTCTCAGACACGAAAAACAAGACAAACAGATTAAAAAAAAAACTTTAACTGTCAGTTTTAAATACATCTAGGTATACTGCCTGTAGTTTGCCCTGAGTCTCTAAAACAAGAAACACACACACACACACACACACACACACACACACACACACACACACACACATACGCACACGCACACACACACGCGCACACACACACACACACGCACACACACGCGCGCACACACATTTTCCATATGGTGCTAGTCATAAATACATTTGCCTTTATGATACTGTTTTATATAACATTGAATATTTCTGTTGGCTAGCATATAAAACATCCCTTTTTTCAAGGTTAACACATTTAACTGTTTATTTTAGCAAGAGCAAAATTCAGGTTTACAATAGTGTGTGGTGATATATTGTGTACCCTAATAAAATTTGCCTGACAATCGGAGAACAGAACCAGCCACTAGGTTAAACATAGAGGCCAGGCAGTGGTGGCGCACACCTTTAATCCCAGTACTTGGGAGTCACATGCCTTTAATGGCTGGGTGGAGAAAGGTATACAAGGCGTGAAGAGACAGGAACTAGAAGCCTTTTCGGCTGAGGAAGCTCATTCGGCTAGAGGCCTATCGGCTGACGGTTTCCAGGCTGAGGAGTCCTAGAGGTAAGACGTGGCAGTGGCTTGTTCCTTTGTCTCTCTGATCTTTCAGCAATTACCCCAATATCAGACTCTGGGATTTTTATTAAAAGACCATTGTAAGCCGGGCGGTGGTGGCGCACGCCTTTAATCTCAGCACTCGGGAGGCAGAGCCAGGCGGATCTCTGTGAGTTCGAGGCCAGCCTGGGCTACCAAGTGAGTTCCAGGAAAGGCGCAAAGCTACACAGAGAAACCCTGTCTCGAAAAACCAAAAAAAAAAAAAAAAAAAAAAGACCATTGTAACAACCATGTTACAATAGTGCACTCAGCATTTTGTCTGCAATCATTTATAAAGCAAAACACAAATCCGGTGCCTTGGGGCTTGACATCCTTCCGGGTAAACTGGGCCTGCTGACAGTCATCACCCTTCTGGCATGGCCCCTTGTCTGTGCTGTCTCTACAGAACAGGGAGGGAAGCCCAAGAAGAAGAGTCGGGGAATCATGGCTCAAGAGCACTTAAAAACCGTTAGGCTCCGTCTTCACCAGGGGAGTTAACTGTGAAGAAGTGTTTTTCTAAAGGATGTCATAGGTAGGTGTATTCATCAGTGTTCTCTAGAGGAAGAGAATTTATAAAATGAATGTGTAGATATTCATATATATGTATATATTTACAGATTTATTAGAGTATCCTACAGGCTGTGGTCCAACTAGCCTAACAATGACAGGTTACCAAATGAATGTTCAAGAATCCAGTAGCAGTTCAGTCCACGAGGCTGGATGTCTTGCTGGTCTTCAGTATATGCCAGATTCTGAAGAAGTGGTGCTAACACCAGTGAAGAAATGGACTTGCCGGTGAGAGCAAGAGCTAGCGGGCAGAGAGAACAGCTTCCCTCGTCCACGGGCTGCCATAGAAGATGTAGCAGAGTAAAGCTGGATCTTCCATCTCAAAGGATCTGGCTTAAAATGGGTCTTCTCATTTCAAATGATTTAATTTAGAAAAAGATCCCTCACGGGTATACTGAGCCTCTTCAGCTTCAGTTAGTTCCAGAGGCAGTCAAGTTGACAACCAAGACTAACCATCCCGGTAAGTTTGTAACTCTACAAAGTGTGCAGTGGAATATTTTGCAAGCATTGTTTAGAAATAACTGTTCAGTAGAGCAGCTACAACCACTAGCCTATCATCTGAGCTGACAAAAATGTATTGCTGTAGTGCTTTCAGAACAGTTTCTTGTGGAAACATAGGCATTCCACTACTAAAGGAAACAAATCTAAAACAAAGGGAAATGGCGAAGTTCATTGTTATCTCAAATTCAGTAGAATTAACACGATTGCTGCCTTCTCCAGAAAATCCCATTTCCTGTGGTCTACAGACTTTTGACTCTAAAGTTCGAACCTCCCTCAGAGTGTAGTACACATTTGTAATTGTACATGCACTATAGTGAAAATCAGATAATACAGCTCCATTTGAATAACTTTCGCCACACCATTTGAATAACTTTCCAAATAGAGAAGTGTTTGTGACCTGGGTTTAGCTGAATGAAAGTACTTATGATGACCTAGCTGATTAGACCACGCTGTTTGAAAGCCTGGGTAACAAAAATCAGGGTCACAGACCTGGACTCCATATAATCCACTTAGCCCAGAGCTATTTCATGACAACATGCTTCAGCCTTAGGCCCAATGGCCTGTATTGTGAATACTAATTACTGTTTGTAAATGGCCATATAAAACACAGACTGCAAAAAAAAATAAAATAAAATCAATCCAATCTTGGAATGAGAGTGGTATGATGGTGGTAAAAATGTGTAATAATACTACAATACTTTATAGGGTCTTCCATTTTAAATAATTCTTAGAAACCTGGGATGGCTAACACTCACTGTCAACATAACTGGATTTAGAATTGCCTAGGAAACAAACCTCTGGGTGTATCAGAGAAGGTTAGCTCAGCAGGAAGTCCCACCTCAGCAGGAAGTGCCATGCTAGATGTAGGTAACACAGTCATAAACTTAGGTGACTGATTAAAAAGGAGAAAGGAAGAGAGGCACCAGCACCCCCTCTCCACAGCTGGAATGTGACCAGCTTCCTCGGGGTCTTGCTACTCTGTCTTGCCCTCAAACTGAACCAAAAGGAGCCTTTCCATTGTTTAGTAAGGCTTCCATCACAGAGCCAAGGAAACGAACTAACACAAACAGTTTCGAATACCTGCCACTTTAGGTATTTTTTTAGATACCTAAACACTCCGTCATCAACTCTGAGAATCAACCACAAGTAGCTGTGGTCCACTATAGAAACCACTTGGGTCTTATGCCTAAACCATTGATACATAGACTACTTTTGTCCTGGGTAATGGATAAGACCACCTCACCTCCACAGCATGTCACCTGCTTAGAGTGCAAGGTTTCAGAGACAAGCATGTCATGTACATGTTTACATGTTTACTCCAAACTTAACAAATACTAAAATCATTGGCAAAAGTGTGACACGTTCTGCAAATTGCTTTTTATATGTCAAGGGCATGTAGGGTCCCAAAGAAAGCACATGGAAAAGAGCTAGAGAACAAATCTTTCCTTGTTTGACTCTATTTACTTTGAAAATCAGACTCATCTTCACTCTGCGACCTCTGGGCTGTTCTCTCCAATGCATTTGGTCCCCTCCTCCCTCGGTGTCTCAGGAGTCAGAATGACAAGCTTCAGAAGTCAGCTCAGATGGTTATCTGCACTTTCCCTCTGTAGTGCTCTTTGAGGTCAAATCCATTACAGCATATGTTCAGACTGACTTTTCACACTTCACTCCACTGGGCTTTCACTGACATACTCCGCGCTTCACCTGAGAACCTGTTATCCATAGATACAAGAGATGTTAAAAACGATACATACAAGGAAAGAAAGAGGGGAGGCCCGCCTCACACCTACACTGTGCACTCAGGACTGACTGGGCAGTCTACAAAGGCCAGGCCACATTTTTAAGTATTAAAATCACTCCAACACTAACTGGAACACTTATGTTTCAAGTCACCTGGGCTCCAGTCAGAAATGCATCAAATGTGGCCTCCACCGACTTCCAGGGCAGAGGAGGGACAGCATCTTGCTGCTGTATAATTTGCCACTTTACTATAGAAAAATGTTACAGTAGATGAGGCCCACACACATGAGCAAATGATTCTGAACACAAAACACGGA